ACCCGATAGCGGTGGTCGTCGCTGGCCCGTCCAGCTTGGACGCGCCGCGGAGGTGGTAGCTTTGGCAGGGGGACGGACGGGCAGCCGGAGAGCAGCCCCTCTCCCTGCGGTAGCAGGATTTGGCAGCGCCGGTAAATCAGGGCCCTTTGACTAGTTACAGTAAAGGAGCTCTTTAAGCCTCAGTGTTTATGTAAATGCGGCTTTAGCTTTAAACCTCTTGGCCATGTGTCTGCCTTTTCTCCCTGGCTCCCCTTGAATATACTACTATGATTTCCAGCTCATCCTCTGGGAGATATATATTTTTTCATATATATAGATAAATGGGCCATTTTCCATGCCTTTGGAGGCCGATGCGTCATCAGTGACTCACTCATGCCAGAGACGAATCCGACCGATTCGTCGGACGAATCCCTCTCTAGTTATAGATTACACAGTACACAGCATTAAGTTTTTGTAAAGCAAGCTTCAGGAGGTAGGTAACAAACTAACCCCAGAAAAAATAAACTTCTAGAAAGGCGTGCTGCACCGAGACAGGGAGCTGCCTGTGCTGCCGTTAGCAGCAGGATTTCCCTGCCGCCGCCGTCACATCTCCAGGGCGGCGGACCTGAAAGAGCTCCTTTAGAAAACGTGAACTGCCATCTAGCCTCAGCCCGAAGTTTCCACCTTTGCCAGACGGGATACTTCCTCGAGAGTTGTTTTTGCTAACTGTCACTTACTGCCAGAGTTATACAACCGACATGTAGCTCCCAGCTGTCCCTAAAACACACCGCTTGCCCCCGGGACATACTCACGGCTTCGCTTTGGCATGCGTTGACCTCTGTGAGCTAGAGGGTACCTTTACAGCTCAACTGCGCCTTGGCTACTTCAGGAACTGGCAGCTTAACCATACTAAAATCCCCTAAAATAGCATGGTGAATTGCTGTCCTCATCTGACGGGCAATTTGACGGTAACGCTTCCGTAAGCCGTTTCTGAGGAACGTGTTAACTAAAAGCACATCCTCAGACTCGCCGTCTGCGCCGCTCGCTTCGTTATCTCAAGGCAGCACGCGGCGCTTCTCGCCAGGAGGATCTCCCGTTTCCCGGCTGCGGCAGGAAGCAGTCCCGCGGCCGCGGGGCTCCAGCCCGCGCGGGACCCCAGCCTTTTCCCGAACGCGTTCGAAATACCTCGGCCGTAGCGCGAGGGATGGAGCGACTCTCCTCGTTTCTCGTTCGCAGCGCTAACTGGCGCTCAGCCCCTCGGGGACCCTCGGCATCACCGCTCCTCTGCCCGCCGGGCTCCTCCGCCTCCTGCCCAGCCCAGCGCGCCCAGCCCCTCTCGGCAGAGGCCGAGGCCCGGCGGCTACGCGGCGCCGGGGAAGCCAAGGCGTCTGCTTTGGGGTCTGCCCGGCCCGTGCCAGGCTCGCTTTGTCAAAGGCACTTCAGAAGGGAGCACGGGGGTGGTGCTGCTGAGCCGAACAAGCGGCAGCACAGAGCCCGAGATAAGGCACAAGGCACGGGTCGCCAGGGCAGCGCGCACGCTTATTTAGAAGAGGAACCAGGCAACCCAGCAGCTGGCCAAGACACAGCTTTGAATTTACACGGCGCTTGCTATGAGCAATGTGCTTTACCGAGAAAGCCCAGCTCGCCATCCCCGTTGCGCAGACGGGGCAACTAAGGCACAGAGCAGCAACAGGACTCGCCCAAGTTCGCTCAGCTGGCCAGCGGCAGAGCCGGGACTCGAATCCAGAGCCTCCTGGGTCCCAGTCCACGGCTCTACCTACTAGACGGCTTCATCCACCCCTGGGTCGCAAGCAGCAGAGAACAAGGAGGGAGGGCTGTCACAGAGAAATACGACGCTACCAAAGAGAAGCCATGACGGGGGCAAGTTACTGCACGAGAGACTCTTCTGGGTCTTCCCTTGCTCCAGCTCCCTGGGAGTTACCTGCGCTTTAGCACCGAAACGCAATCTTTCTTCAGCGGCCCAATCTGCAGGTGAGCATCGACGCTCTCCAGGAAGAAGGCTGGTTTCAGGTTGTAGGAGAACAGAGAGGGGAATTGGTGGTTGATCTTGTTCTGGAAAGCGTCAAACTGACCCTTCTTAAAACGGGAGACCTTGAGCTGCTGCAGGCAGGTCATCTTGGAGTCCTTGACTCCGTAGAACGTCAGGGCCTTCTCTGAATACTCCAGGAAGACCCCGATGGTGTGGAAAAACGGCTGCTGGATGACAGACTCAAAGCCACCAAACCAGGCCACATAGTTCTGACCGTTCCACTGCAGGCAGCAGGACTTCTCGTTCCGCCCCAGGCGGCCGCGGTCGTAGGACTCCCGGGGGTTGAAATCCTCCGCGATGACGCCAATGCTGACCCAGCCGTCGATGAGCTCCACCTCCCAGTAATAGTTGCCACGGTTCATGAGGTTCTCGCCCAGCACCTGCTCGCAGTTGATGAACCGGGTCACGCTCTCCGGGTAGGGGATGGGGCAAAGCACCCGCTTGGCCCCTTTGGTGCCGAACAGCTGGATGAACTTGTCAGCTGTGTCGCTGTCCAGGTCGATGATGAAGGCAACTGTGTGGGGCAAGAAGAAAACACGAGCATGAGGAGGAAAGCAAGAAGAAATCTAAAACAACCGCTCCTTGCACTCAGCTCTCGCTGCCGAACAGGTTCTCCCCAAAAGCCAGAGGCAGCCCCCAGCGTGCAGGGCTCTGGGGGCTCTCCCTGGAGCCAACGGCCGCTGGAGCCATCCACTAACATGGGGGATTTCCAGAAGTAGCAGCCCTCCTCCGAGTGCTGCCGGACGCTCCCACCCCAGGAATTCAGCCCTGGACATGGATCGCTGCCGACCACATAGCACAGCCGGAGCCCGATCCCACGGCACGTTCAGCCCCTGCCACCGCGAAGAAGCACACTGCAGCCCAGCACAGCTGGCTCAAGTCCGGGCTCTGCCTCCCGGTTCCCAGAGAGGTGCACCCAACACTGCCGAGGCAGGTCCGGCCACGCAGAGCTCCTGGCCCCGAGGACTGCTTGGCCATTGCCCCTTGCGGCTCCCCCTCAGTGGAGATCTCACCGGGTGAACTTGAATCCCCCGTCGTGATTCGGACCCATGTGAGGCCGGGGGGGACTCGCGCGGCATTGGAGCCCGACCCAAGCCCTGCGCCCTATAAACAGCCCCTGGCGACGTGGCTGGGACCTGAGCTCAGCCACGAAGGCTTGACTTGGGGCCAAAGAGGAAGGAAGCAAGCCCAAGGATGGAAAATCAGCTGCCTGCTTTGTGCGGGGCATGGAGATACTTCGTCTCCACTCCTCACTCGCCCACAGCAAGGTTCTCCAGTCTCCCGACTTGTTTCAGACCAGCCCCTTCCTTGTCCCACCGTGACCTGCTCAATAAGCACCCAAACAGCGCTGCTGGTCAGGAACTTCCTCAGATGATGGCCAGTTTATCATCAGCTTTCTCAATGCACACGCCTCTCCCTCGGGCTCCTTTTTTTCCCTCTCTCCCTGCATTGCTGCCCTGCTGTCACAGCACTCTCTGTTCAGCCACTGAATTATCCATCAGCTTAATGCATTCAAAGCTGACCCTCATCAGACTGCTGTTCTGGAGACGAACGAGGCAGATGCCCAAATTCTGATCTAATTAAACAGAGGATCAAATTTGTCAATGGCTGGAAGGCAGCACAAGTTACATGATATGCCTACAAACCCCTGGCAGCTGGTCCGGCAGAACTAAGGAAAAAAAGCACCTAAACAGACTCTGACTGTTGTCAGGAAAGCAAGGAGACTTCCTCATTAGCTGAGCAATATTTCCCCCGGGGCATGGCAGAGCTCCCGCCAGCCGTGGGCCTGAGAGCGGGGCCTGCCGGGCAAGCGGGACGGAGCCAGCCGCCTGCAGAGAGGAAAGGGAAGACGGGCCTTAGCAACGAGCGTCAAAGCAAAAGTCCATCGCTTACATTTCAGGAAGTAATCACGGCTCTCCAGGCAGGCAGGACTGTTCGACTTGTCTGGAAACTGGGACTCAGCCACCGCTGCAAAGACAGGGACGAACGGTTTTACCCCCAGCAAAGAAACCAGAGCCAAACCCATGAGTGTTACTGGAAGCCAGATGGCGGGCAGAGCGCGGTGCCTGGGGAGCACGGGTGCATGGTACCAGACACATGCCCTCCCACTTCTCCATACAATGATGGAGACACACCGTTCTCCTCCGGCATTTTGGTCTGGGATGTTTTGTGAATATATATACAAAAATTCAAACGCCTCCAGGATGCAGCAGTTTTGGGCATGACTGAGCCAGGTGCGGACAGGACAGGGCAGATTTTGAGCAGGATCAAAAATGCTGCATTCATCAGCTCCTTTTCCCTGCGCTGCCTTTCCTGCTACCTTATCCTGACCTCACCCCCAACACCCCGACGGTGCCCGGCTGCATGCTGCCACGGCCCCCAAGCTCCAGCCCACGCCGTCTCCTGCGCATCCCTGCAGGCTCTGGTGTAACAAAGGATGGAGGCCACCTTGGCCACCTCCTGGAGACAAGCACAGGCGGCAAGGACCTGGCTGCAATTCTCATGAGCGTCCAAGAAAATGAGAGGCTGCAAGGAGCTGAGCCTAAGCGAGAGCGCGCAGCAGGGAGAGGCCTGAACCTTCAGCTGCTGCGGCTTTCTAACACTGGCAGGGCTGGGGCACCTGCAAGGAGCTGAGCCTAAGCGAGAGCGCGCAGCAGGGAGAGGCCTGAACCTTCAGCTGCTGCGGCTTTCTAACACCGGCAGGTTTGGGACACCACAGCCTGCCTGATGAAGAGGATCGTCTGTCCCGGGAAGAAAAAGTCCCCTTTCATGGGAGGCCACCTTGGCCACTTGCCCCTTCCCGCACAGCCCTGCCTAACTCCCAGGCTGTTTGTTGCCTCTCAATTCCCTGGTCTCCGTGGAAAAAATTTATAAAACCTCAAGTACGAGGCGCAAGCCCAGACAGTGATTGTGAAATGCACAGTGCAACTGTGCCGGGCAGCTTCCAGGGCTGGCAGGAGAGGGATCAGTGCTTTCGCCAAGCCTCAAGCACCTCCTGGCCACTCCTGCGCGCCCCGCGGGAGGGAACATGGTGGCTGGGTGCCCTGCACGGCATCTCCAGCCCGGGGGGTGCATACAAACCTTCCTCCGTCTCCTGGAAACTCAGCCCGTCAACTCCTTTCCCCAGCAGGTGGTCCCACTGTTTTTTGCAGGCAGCAGACAGCACATCCTTCACCGTGCGCACGGCTTGGGTGGATTTGGTGAAGCTCAGCTCGTTCTGGAAGCTCGGAGCAGGGGAGAGATTTTCTTCCATGGCTATTTTTAGGGCCTGAAACTCCTGAGCCAAGGAGGAGACAGGGTTGCAGGAGATTTCAAACAAGCCGAAGCTGCCTCTTGTTCCGCAACCCCACCCTGCCCTGGAGGATTTGGGAACTGGCAGCTTGCAGCACTTGGCCCGAAAACAGACTTGCAAGAGGGAGGAGACCGCTTTCCCGGCCATGCGTTCCTGGCGCCTTCTCTTTGCTCCCTTTCAAATCTGGACCCAGACCATGCTCATCCCCAAGAGCAGCGTCTCCTCCCAAACAGGTCTCTTCTCGCTAGGTTGCCGGCAAGGGGTGGATGCTAAAAGGGGGCAGTGGAACAGCCCAACGCCTAGTACCGCACCTAGGCAATGCACCAGCTTCTCCTGAGGCGCTGTGCCAGGGAGGGGATAACGGAGGAGAAAGTTCGGCAGCCTGGCCACCCCCAGGAGAGGGGAAGGGAAGGGAGAGGAACGTGCAAATGGGACTGAGACTCTGCAGCCCTCACATCCCGCTGCACCTTGCACCCAGCTCCACCTGAAATGGGGTGGCATGTTAAAAAAAGAAAAAACAACATACCTACGTATGTATAGAGAGAGACATTGTCAAGCCCTGTCCCCACGCACCTGGAGGAAGTAGATGGTGTCTGTGCTGGAGACATTCTCCAGGTTCTGCTTGCACTGGGCCAGCTTGGCTCGTCTCTCCTCCTTCCAGTGGAGATCGGCCTCTGCGTCTGCCAGCATGGAGCGCTCGCCGTTCTCGATGAAACCCGCCACCTCCTTCTGGAAGGTTGCCAGCACCTCGGAGGCTTCTGCAAAGAGCTTCTCCACTCTTTCATGGTGGCGGCGCCCTGCACAGGGAAGAGAGGTCCGTGCTACCATCCGCAGGCGGGGAGGTTGGGCGCAGGGGTGGAAGGAGAGCACCCCAGTTTGCTCTGCAGGGTGCCCCCAACACCCCATAGCTCCCTCCACCCAAACCCAAGGAGCTCAGAGTACTTTCAACCCAGGTGACATGGACCAGCTCCTCCAGGACGCCTCCATGGCTCGTTCCCAGTGGGACACAGATGCCTAACTCAGGTGGAGAGACCAGGCTGGCCTGCACTGTGGTTTATCGCTCCAGCAGCTCAGGTTTCCCCAGGCAGTGACACATGTGTGTGCTAGGGCCAAGGGGGACCAGCAAACCCCCTCTGAACTTGGGGAGAGGGGATCTAAGAGCCGGAGGATGCTTCGGCACGGTCCTCCTGATGTTCCTCTTTCCACGTTATAAACGAAAGCAACCAGAGGTGATGTGAGGGGCCAGATCCAGCGTGTTAATACAGGAGCAAGGACCCACGGGGACAGGGTCACTGGCGCGTCACTGAGCACTTTCTCCTCTGTAAGCACCTTTCTTACACCCTGCACGCTCTGATAGCTGGTGGCCCCTTTGCCTCTGCTCTCCGGCCCCAGTGCAGAGAGACGCTGACAGAGTGAGCCCATCACACAGCGATGACCAGGAAAAGCCATCTCCACGAGCCAGAAACGTCT